TTATCGAAATATTTAATTTGACTTATCTTCTAAGTCCTAGTTCCGACAACAATTCCGTCAAAAATTCCGAATTACTTAAGCTAAAGTAAAAGATTTAGTATATATTCACTGTATGTAATAAAGTAATCAGAGTGTAATAAAAATAGATTATAGAATTATGCTGATGTAACTTTTTGTCTGACTGCACAACATGTAATGGAAGAGAAGGTTTGTAGAGATCTGTTTTTGACATGCCTCTAAAAGTAGATGTATATTAATTTGTCTCTTCAATGTCAAAAAAACTTTCCTTTGAGAGGCAACTTTAGTTTTTGAGAAAGAAAAAAAATCACAAGAAGACAAATTTGAAGAACATGCAGGACGATTGAGTACACATACTTATTTCGGAACACAAGCGGTTCTCCGACTGGCTATGAATAATGAAAAGATGCATTGTCATGCAATACAAAACATTTACTGGCTGAATAACGTAAGATTAAAAGTCATCTGCTTAATTCATATCCATTTACAAGTCAACTACTCGGGCAATTGCAAAATCGTTTTGATCCTGAGCTTGTAAGACAAACCTAATATCATGGATTTAAACACTTCTTTAATCTCGAGAACGTTCCTTCTTTAGCTCATATTCCAAGAATATTAAGTGAATACAATTATTGCCAAAGAAATTGAATATTCATTTGCACTACGGCTTGGTAGTTACTAACGAGTTAACAAACTTAAATTCTGCTTTTTGTGTCTAAGAATACAACAATATTTTAAATATTTAAAAATAAAATATTAAATTGAGATTTAATTGGAGCTTCATCAGTTGCCTAGCATTTGAAAAAGAAAAGATTGTTAAATACTAATTGTTTGCTGCTCAGTCTAACCCAGGCTGCATGCTTGGTTTTCGTAGTTTTTAGGTTCTCTTTACAAGATTCTCTATGAAAGCATCTTAATCAAATAGCTCCCATGTTCTTTCTATGTTCAAATAACCAACAAACCTAGTTTAAGCGCGATTTCCAAGTGAGTTACTAGAAAATCCGAATACTCATTAAAAATCATGTAACTAGCCAATCGGAAGTAAATGAAAGATATGGCGCCAATAATTGAAATGTTTGTTTTACGGTACACTGTTTCTTAACTTAGATGGTCATTCCTTAATTAAATAGCCCACCACGGGCCGAGCGGTAAAGACGCTGAACACTGGTAGTTCAGTCCGAGGTTCGAATCCGCGAACGGGCTGGTCGCTTGGGCGTTTTCGTGGTTTTCCCCAGTGTAACGTGTATACGAGCCAGTTTCCCTTAGAAAGTCCTCCACGAAGGCATCCCTCCTTTAGGCAGATAGCCCTCGTGCGCTTTGCCATAATTAAATAATCCAATCCAATCCTTAATTAAATATAATTGATTTGTAAATTCTATAGAACTGATGGGTAAGAATTGAAGTGGAAATAAGTAAATATGGTGTGCAATCTGATTAATATAAAATTAAAAATATTTGCATAGAAAAATGTTTGCATTCAGACAGAAAGTTTTTGAAATAGTGTGCAATTACTTTATAAGAAGGATTTATTAATAACCGTAATAATTACTTATTATATACTGATGATCAGGATTCAGTTCTTGACAATTACATTCTAAATTAGAATTTTAAGGATATAATGAAAATACGCTATGCACAAAAATACATTTTAGGAAAAAATGAGTTGATTTTTTATGTTTTAAAACTTCTTAAATTCATTTAGTAAACATCGTATCCTCGTGTTTATTGAATCCAGAATGTTGGTGGCGTTTATATTAATTATTCTACTTGTCCACAGAATCTGCTGACTTATCCAGCCATTAAGTAGCTGCAGATCATTTCTACATAACCATTTGAACTTCCATTAATCAGTCTTAGAGAGTTGTATGTTTATATCATAATTTGACTTTTATAAAAAATGATTATTCTAAATATGATGTTTCTATAAAATATATGTTGCTTTAAATATATGGATAATAGTATCAGCCGCTCTTTCAGTCACTTCAAAAGCAACAGTTTGTTTGTTTAGAAATAAATATGCAGTTAATGTCATAAAATTCAAATAAATATCAAACGAAAATTCTCAGTTTTAGACAATTCGATTAAACGAAGTAAAGTAGCAGACGATAAAACGTTGAAGGTAAAAAATTTTTCTTACAAAAACTTATCTTAAATTTTTTTAAAAAAGAAAGATTTACGAGAGAAATTAAAAACAAAATAGTTAAAAATTTGAATAATATCTATAATTAAAAAAAATAGCCTTTCATATAGTATTAATAAATATTTATTACGCATCATTGAGGGAAAAAATTGTCATATAATTAATTCTCCATAAAATTTTACTTGAAATTTAAGGTTAAAAATAGCTGTGGCAATTCACTGTAACAAAAATCCATAGACCACATTTGGCGTTATTACGCTCAAAAAAAAGGTGCCAAATTTCAAAACGCGAAAATGTAAATGTAAATTGTATATCTTAGAAAATTTGAATAAAAAGTCTATTTTGCAGATATGCTAAAAAATACACACTACTTAGATGATGGTAAAATTTATAGGTTATAATTAAAATTTTTTCGAAAAAATTATAGAAATTATTTAAAAATAGAAATTTAAAAAAAAAACTGCAAATGGGTAAATTTTTTGGAATGACAAAATTTCGAAATGTGAGAGAAAAAATAAAAAAGTTTAATAAAAAAAGAGATATTAATAAATATTGCCATTCAATAACATTGAGGAGCTAAAATTTGAGAGCTAATATTTTAAAAACTATTGCGTACGAATTACAAACTGGTATTCTGGCATATTGAGTCTAGAATCGAATAAGGTAAAAAATTAGTATTTATTCAGAAAAGTCCGAGTTGTGTCAAAATACCTATTTAGATATGCTCTATATCAATCTAATTATATCCTAGTCGCGCTTTCGAGATGAAAAACGTGGTTTGAATTTGTCAATCGGCCCAGTATAAAGGGAGATATACACTGTCCCATTTTTTTTTTTTTTTTTTTTTGAGCAGTGTACTTCCTCATCACATTGCTTGATCAATAATTGCTCCTGTTCCTGATCGCTTCCTAAGAATGGCATCAATTTTGGGAGTTCTTGCTGCTATTACTACTTACCTAAATTTACCAATCAGATTTGTAACTAAATGAATCAGTTTAATCAATAATGGCCAATATCACATCCATCCTCCTCCTTTATATTTATTTATTAATATGTCAATGGAATAGAAAATAACTATTTGTTAATGTATATAGTCCGTAAATAAAAATAATAACTCAGTTTATCATTAATTTTTTTTTCCAATTCACTTTAATTCCATTTCAAATTCAAACTGTCCAACAAAAATTGAAGTAAGAGTCGATGTGTTTTTAGCGACTCCAGCTCTGACTCCTTTTAGCCAAAAATCTGCCTAACTCTGATTCCGATTCCGCAGCCTTGGTATGTACATATGTATCTGTGTGTGTACACATACATACATAAACATGTGCATATATAGGTACACTTCTGAACCTGGTCCTGATAACTGGAGAATATTTAAGTTATTTAATATGTATTGAGAATAGAATGTGTTCTGTTAGACATAAAAAGCAAAATGTTCTGAGATGAGGAAAATGTATTAAATTAATAATAATTCAAACATATTGTATGTGAGTAATAATATGCTATATATGTGCCACATGCTTTAAGAGTTTTTAAAAGAATACTACTGGGGTATCCAGTTCAGGGTTTAGTATGGAATTTGACTTCCTTTGCAGAAGATGCAGGCTGTCATTTTGTGTAGTTCTGAAACACACAGGGCACAAGTAGTTTCATTCTTTTCTGCTAAGGGATCAGAAACGTTTTGGGTAAATTGCTGGTATTGGAGCAATTAACATCCCATCCTGTCCCACATGACAATTCTAGCAATTTCGCCAGTATATACTATCTTTAATTTTCTAGAGTATGTCACGTCACTGCTAAGGTGTTAGAACTTGTGGTGTTGAAAATGTGACAATGTGGTGTTGAAAATGTGTTTTGGATGGAAAAACACTTATCACTAAATCGTGCACTTTTAAGAAAATGGAACATATCTTCTCATCCAACTCAGGGAAAAATAAAATAGCAGAGAGATGTGAGTGATGCTCTATCATACGAGGATGAGATGTGTGAGGCTGAAAGGCCCCACACACTCGGTTGAAATGTCGTCAGCAGAAAAAAAAAACCGAAAAACCAGTCTGTCTAGTTTTTATGCATGCGGCGCACGTGGCAGTCCAGCGATTACAATTACAGTAGCGATGAAGATAAGCTGAACAGCGTGAGAATTTTATGTTCTCACAGAACTGTATTGTCATGCTATAAAATCGCATTCAACTGCCTATCCTGTAATGTAGACTAACAACAAATTTTGAATGTTTCTTTGCTTATGTTAAACTGAAATTTTGAGAAATGTTTTAGGATTTGATATTTTACAAGTTTGAAAATGAATTAAGTGGGTGTGCAAGTAAAAATGTATCGTAGTTCAGCTGTTGTTCACAAAAACGTAAAAAAAAAGGAGGGGAAGAGGGGGGAAATGTATTCAAAAAATACTATAGTTTTTTTTGAAAATTTTATGTTGGAAAGATTCTCAGTGGTATGAATGGATGTGTAGAAGTATTTTGGTGGCATTGGTTCAGAAGGCTACAGATGCAAACCTATTTGAATCCGAAATTCTTTTATGAGTTTGTGCTCTTAACAATTATAAATTAGTGAACTTTTAAGTCTTTTTCAGATAAATGCATTTTATTTTATATTCTACAACTTTTAAATTATATCAGTAATAGTGTAGTACTTGCTTTACAGTTGATGAAAAACTTAATCAATGGAAACACAACAATGACTTTATTGAATATATAAATTTACAACATAAAAGATACACCCAAAACAAGAAAATGGTGACATGGGCTGCTACAGTCTGTTATCTCCCATCACAGTCTCTCTTCCAACTGTCTGTTAATGACTTTAACCCCTTTCTGGTCTCTTTAAGGCTCTTAAAGCTGACCCTCCTCTGGTTGACTTTGACCAGCAAGAAAGAAATTTTGAAAGTCTGTGCGAGGTTGTTAGGAACACCTCAATAGGAAAACAAAGTATCCGAGATGTTTTAACTATGTGCTGTTACGACCTCTACCCCCAATGGAGATACTTTTTCCAAAGAGAAAAATTCTGTAAAATTCGAAAGTTCATGGACTGAAATTTTTCTTTTACTCTAGGAGAAGGCAAATTCTGTCACTAGTTTCCAAACTCCAGGCAAAAATTTTAAACATGTATTTTTACACCACATTTAAATACGAGGATAATGGATAATGTTCAAATTACATCACTTCAGCATACATTAAATGATAAAACGGAATATGATATAAACTTAAGCTAAGAGACACTGCATTACTTAATTTGCTTAGAAAATCTGATTTTTTGTGCAAGGATCCCTTGCAATGAATGACTTTAAAATTATATAATTATAAGTGAGTGCCCAGCACATCAATCTAGAATTACTTTTGACATTAGATTTTAGCCACACCAAAGGTTCACCAGCCAAAGATCAGGTTGAATCAAAAACTTTTGCTGACCATCAAGATAAAAATGGAACTTTTTTATAGCATAGGTGATGGCCTCATTCTTCTTCTCTGTAGTACGATAATTCTTTTCAAATTTAATGCATTTATATATATATATATTGCTTATATACAAGCTAGGATGCTGATTTTGATCATCTTCTAATTGGGATAATATTATGCCTATGCTATTGTTGGAGGCATTGGTTTGTATAATAAATTTTTCATTAAAGTTGGGAGCATAAAGTTTTTTTTTTTTTTTTTTTTTTTTTTGCATAGAAACTTTTTTTTAAAAATCTTGATCACATTTTTCAGACCATTGTATATTTCCTTTTTTTGTAACCTCTATCAGAGTGTTAATAAGGGGTGAAGCAATTTCAGAAAATCTCAGTACGTATTGCCGATAATACCCTACTGTTCCTAAATAAGCACATACTAATGTATAGGGTAATCCTTTACAGCCAAGATTTTTACTTCATCTGGAGTTTGTCGTCCGTTTCCCACAATATGGCCTAGGTATCTCTTTTGATGTGGTGCAAATTTACATTTTGATGGTTATAATTGTAAATTTGCTCTTTTTATTCTGTCTAGAGCAGAAGTTAAGTTTTTAAGGTGTCTTCCCAGTTTTCTGAGAAAATAGCAGTGTCATCCAAATATGGGACAGCGAATCTGTCACATCAAGCTAGAACTTTAGTCATAACTATGCTAAAGAAATATGAGGCATTCTTAAATATGAAGGGTAATCATAGAGGTCTGAAGCTTCCAAAGCTAGTTACAAATGTTGTGTATCTTTGGACTCTTTCAGTTAATGGAATTTGCCAGTAGCCTCTAGATAAGTCTAATAGCATTATATATTTCACTTTTGTCACTGTTTCGATGCATTTTTCCATATTAGGCAAAAGGTAGTATTCAGTTCTAGTAACAGTATTTAGTTTGTGATAGTTGATACAAAGTCAAAGATCCTCTGATGAAGTTTCTTATCAGAATCATGGGAGATGTATAGTTCCATTCCCCTGGCTCTATAATTTTTAGATCTAGCATTTTCTGAATCTCTTTTTCAGAATTTCAGTTCACAGTTTGTATGGCTTTATTTGTATTGGTTCATTTTTTAATAGTGGCTGACTAAATTGCTAGTCCTGGATTATATGAAAAACAACCATAATCTTTCCATAAAATCTTTCGTAAATCTTATATTTGCTCGGCTAGCAATCTTTTCTTCAGCTCATTCTCCTCTGTGATATCCAAGAAATGTAATATACTTGGATTGGAAGGCAAATGAGGTATGCCCATTTTTAAGTCTCCTTCCACTTCGTTTATCATATCAAGTCATTTCTGGTCTTTTGTAATATGGTTTAAGCATGTTACTGTGATATACTTTATTTGGCTGATTTTGTCCCTCGAAACTTACAACATAATTGGTTTCTGAAACCTGCTCTATTTTCCCAGGACTCTTCTATTGCACCTGTGGTTTATTTTGATGATTTGTAATTAAAATTAGATTTTAATCTTCTCTAGCAAATTTTCTTTTCACTACGTTCCAATCGTACCATGTTTTTCTTCGCTGTTGAGTTTCTTTGATGCTTTCCATGGCCAGGTCTTGGCATTTTTTATTCAGTTATAAGTTTGAAAGTGTAATTGACAACATTATTTCTTTTATCGGTCAGTTCTAGCTAAAGTAAAGTGATTGGCATTCACAGGTTTTTGCTATGAGCCAGTTCTGCTGGTGTGAAACCAGTATTTTTGTGACCATGCTGAAAGCAAAAAGAGAAGCTGGTAGATATTTCTCCCACTTAGAAGTCGCTCTTATACACACAACTCTTAATATCCTTTTTAGCTTTCTGTGGACTTGTTTAATGGGGTTACTCTGTGGATAATACCCAGAGCTTCTTACATATTTAATGCTGAATTGCTCCAAAAATTCCACTGTCAAAGTGCTGACAAAAGAGGTCCTCTTATCTGTTTGGATGACTTTTATAAAACCCATGTGAGTGAAGATCTGTAAGAGTGCATTAATCACAAATGGCGAAGATACATCTGCCACTGTAACAGCTTCTGGATGTTACTGTTGGATGGAAGACATACATAGAAGTGTAATAATAATTTTTTTGCCAGTCTTTGAAGAAGGCAGCAGACCAATAGCATCAACATTTGTTTTAGTAAACATCTCAGAAATGACTACTACTGATGTCATTGGAGTTTTTTTTTTTTTTTTTTTTCCATTTCCCTTCTCAGTCACTGACAAGCATCACAGGTTTTTACTAAAGCTTCACTTTTTTTTTTTTTTTTTTTGTTTTGTTTTTGTAACACCTCATGTAATAAAAATATCTGGACACCCTGTCTTTAGTCTTTTCTGACCCCCAAATAAACAGAAGTTCTTTCATCGCACATTTTTATAATTGACGACTTGACTTTTTTAGGCATAATTAAAAACTGTCACATAGCTTGTTTTATCTGTCATTTTTTAACTAAAAGGCTTTTTTCTGTCAGGCTGTAATTCTCATTTTTGTATGTATCTTTCTGAACTTTTTGGATGATTTTAGACAGTTTCTTATTAGTATTTTGAAGTCATGAAAATTCTTTTGAATCAGTACTTGTGGATTTTGTGAGTGCTTCATCTTTCTTATTTAATCTTGGTAATTTAACTTCACCTTCAGGGGCATTTCCTAATGCTTCATTTTCTTATTTCATTCATTTCAAACTCTTCTTTTCTTCACATTTAGCTATTTCTCATTTCTTTTGAGCTCTAGTAGTGACAGCATTAATCTGATCAGGATGACTATCCTTATTCATTCTATAGCACAACAGTTTGGTTACCTAATGAATACCTCCCTTACTCAAGCTGCTTTCTAATAATGTCAGCCTTGGTGGTTCTTACTCAATGGAGACTGCAGTTTTGTTTGATCTCAGCCAATGGTAAACAGGTTGGATTCAAATCTAATGGTTGTTGCGCTCACACATTTTCATCTGTCAGCATTTCTGGAGTGATGCATATGTGGCAAACTGTATCAATACTAGCACTTGAATTCCATAATGTAGAATTTTATAACCTTTATAAGGTAATAGAAATTCATCCTATGGTTTTGATCTAATTCTGTTTAGATTAGCAGGAGATTCAGAACTATTTTTACGTTCTGCACTTTGAGGTCTTAAATGCTGATAGGATCCACATTGATAACATTGTGGCATCCTTTGTTTTTCATATTTATTATCTGAACATGGACTTCTAGGCTGATGGAACCTGCTTTGTAAATTAAACCCTGGTGACCATTTTTATTATCTGAATTCCATTTACTGTGAGTTATCACATTGTATTTTTCTTTCTGCTAAACAGCTACAGACTTTTTTTTAAAGTTTCCACAGGCTTTTCGTAAGCATCAAGTTTTTTAGCTAATCTCTTGGATGAAATCATCTCTACCCACTGATCAAGAAAATGACTTTTAATTTCAGAAGGGACTCCATGCTTGTTGGTCAATCACCATCAAATCTATCAACTGTTCAAAAGTCTGAGCTCCTAAGCTAGTCGCCCATTCTTTGCAATAATTTTCTGATTCATAGCTGAAATCCATCCATGTGGATTCAGTATTCCTTCACTGTTTTATGGACTCCTGCCTAAACTTTCCAAGGGCTTAGCTTAACCGCTTTAACAATAAATTCTTCACAAGTTAATAGTCTTTAGCTTTATCGAAGGGTTCTCTAGCTGTTTCCTGTGTGATTTCATAAGAAAGTAGTCCTAATAAGTGAGATAAAATTCATCTTTATCAATTTTATCCCATTCTGCTTGCCTTTCAAGCAGTAACAAACATAGATTGATATATCCTTCCTTGTCATCAAATTTCTGCGTAAGGTGACACAGCTGTATTTTTGGCTGGACCTATCTGGTAGCATGAGACCTTGTTTGTGCTTAATCTCTCTAAATCATATTATTCTTTCTTCCTGTGCTCTTTCCTCCTTCCTAAATTCTTCCCCCCTTTCCATTCCTCTGTTATCATGTCTAAGACCCCTTTGATGGATACTTGGTTGTAATCTCTGGTGTCAATAATTTTCTGTTTCAAATCAACTACAGGGTGTTTATAAAGTCCCAGACTCATTTTGATGTTTAATAACTCATAAAATAATAAAGATAGATTAAAATTAATAACATAAATGGTTAGATAGACTCATAAAGTTTCATAACCCTTGTCAATGAATTTCCGCATGTGTCCCCTTCGTCGCACGGAGAATATCAAGTCGATATTCAATTTCACCCCAGGTACCGGCAAGCATGTAAGCATCCACAGAGGCTATTGCGGTTGTAATTCTGGCTTTTAGGTCATCAATGTTCGACACTCTCCTCCTGTAAACTTTGTCCTTTACAAATCCGCAAAGGAGAAGGTCCATAACATTGCAATAGTTGCCAAAAACAAAAGAGAGAAAAATGCAATTATTAAGCAGACGATATTTAGAAAAGTACAGATATTTAGACTGGAAAATGAAATTATCTGAAATTAACCACACGCGCAGACGATATTTACAAAAGTAAAGTATTCAAACCTGAAAAGAAAATATATAAGTTATTCCATCAATAAATGCCATAAGTTTGTTTATATCTTCATTATTTTATGAGTTATTAAACATCAAAATGGGTCCGGGACTTTATAAAGACACTGTATTTTCAAATCTGCAGTCACATGAACTCCCACTTACTTGCAAAATTTTGCAAATCCTCCACGAGCTTTTCCTAAATAAGACATTTTTTCTATTTTTAAAATTTATGAAACCCCGTTCTTTCTGCTTTATCAAAATAACTCAATTTAATTGCTTTAACTAATTAACCCTCTGAGCGGCTAGGGTTTTCTCTAAGAAAGTACAAATTTCCCAAAACTACTATGAGAGCAAATAATTTTTTTGATTTTAATGTAAAAACTCTCCTGTTATTTCATACCTGGATTTGTTTTCTTTTGATATTATTGCCTTAATTTCTTTGACATATTTTAATATGCACATATATATACGTTCTTACGGATATCACAAAAAATATCCCTCTAAGCCTCTAAGCGGCAAGGCCGTATATATACGGCCTTGCCGCTTAGAGGGTTAATGCATTCAATAATGGAAGTGAATGCACTCTTTCAAATATGCAAACCTCAAACATGAGATACCTAATTTATATGAAATTTATACACTATACCATCTTAAATGTGACTAAAATAAAAATAACAACATAGAGCAATGGATGTACTGTACATACATCTAACTATTGGATAACTAAAATTTTAAACATAATATCCGATATGCTAATGTATTAAGATGGTACACCTTCACACGATGTAATAATCTGATATCACTAATAATACATTCATTGAAGAACTATTAAAAAAAACATTGAATAATAGTGCTAACAGTCTAATGCCATTCGCAATAAATCATGAATTGATAACAATGGATATCGCTATAGTTATATTCAATGAAGGACTACTGAAATAAATATTGAATAATAGTACCAACAGTCTAATACTGTACTCAATAAATTTTAAGCAAATAGCAGTATATATTGGTATGTTTACATTCATTGATGAATTATTAAAATATGTACTGACATATTGTATGCTATAATCCGTAAGGCCATAAAACATAATCATGGAATGACCAGTCTCCTCAATGATGAACAAATAATGCAATAATATAAAAATATGATATTCTTTCAAAGATCAAGCAAGTAACTCAATGTTGTCCATTGACATATAATTTACAGCATTTAATATCCACTGCTGGATTAAGCTAAGAGTTAAAGATTCGACCCTAATATAAAATTTTTCAATGATGAAACTCAGTTATATTCCATATAATAATGCAATAGTCATAAGTTTAATTCATACTACTTAGTGATGGATGAAAACACTGCAAACATAATACAGTACAAAGTCTTTAATCCGGACTCATCGGGACTTCAGCAATTCCAGATTAGGGTTTTTTACAGATTATAGATCATCAATTTTAAATCTGGTAAGATGGCATGCAGAAATTATAAAATTAAAAATATGAAACCACAACTTATGAAATAAAGAGCAATTATGATCTAAAGGATATCAAAATTTACAAAAAAAAAAAAAGCTTAATATTTATTTGTTTACTTTATTAAACATTTCTTTCAACGAACGCATGCGTAAAGCATACATTACACATAGTCGAAATTAGAAAATTGCAACTAGAAAACTATTTGATGTGTATTCGTGATATTTATAATGACGAGGAATTTGATTTAAATCATATCAAAGATGGAGTACATCGAGATGAAATACTACATTTAGTAAGGAATTATAAGCTGAATAAAATAAAAATATCTGCCCTGAAGATGAGGATAGTGCTGACAGATCAACTTCCAGTTCATTGCACGCCGCGACGTTCCCCCCCCCCTGCAGAGCAGCTGGAAATTTATAAACAGATTTCGGAATGGTTAGAGAAGCAAAGGATATGCCTTTATCCATTTTTTGCAGCAATTCCACTTTTTGTTTGATGGACATCGAAACATACTTTCGCTTTGTAGATCCTTTGGCAGCTCCAGAATGGGAAACTCTTTCTGACGTAATCGAAATTTCAAGCTTACTTTTTATAAAATTGCTCTAACAGTCTGCAAAAAATAATATTCCAATTAGAAGATTAAGGAACAATGCAATCTGCAACATTAACTGAAATAGATAATTAGATAATTTTAGCCTAGCTTATACTGTCCGTTATACATTAAACGCGCATGCGTAAACGTATTATGCGCATGCGCAGAAAGTTTTTAGCTTTGAGGTCCAGATTAAAGACTTTGTACTGTATTCTACTACTTTCAGGCATTTATTTACATTTAAAGAGCAAATATTTTATACAAAATTAGAGATTTGGGAAAGTGTATTTTCCTTAAAAATTTTATAACATACTCATTCTAGAATAATATAATTTTTCTCTTATCCCACAAATAAATATATATGGAAAAATATGCACACAATCGCAGATTTTATTTGACACAACACATA